GGGGGGACACTGTTCAGTGATTTGTAGACATACATGAGTATTTTGAACTGGATTCGAAAGTGAACCGGTAACCAGTGCAGTGAGGCCAAAACTGGTGTAATGTGCTCTCTTTTGCCTGTACTGGTTAAAAATCAGGCTGCTGCATTCTGGACCAGTTGTAGTTGTGCAATGGAGGTCTGACTGATACCAAACAGGAGTGAATTGCAGTAATCAAGCCTAGATGTAATGAATGCATGTATTACTGTCTCCAGGTTATTTTTGGACAATATGGGCTTCAGTTTAGACAGCCGCCTCAGTTGGAAGAAACATGATTTAATCATGTTTACATGATCGTTAAGTTTCAGGGAAGGGTCCATTATCACACCCAGATTAGTGACTCTTTGTTTTTCTGACAGGGTTAGAGCGGAGAGGTCGATGCAGTGGTTTGTGATCGTGTCATTGGGAGGGAACAACATGACTTCAGACTTCTTTTCATTGTAACTTAAGAAATTTAAAGCCATCCAGTCCCTGATGTCAGCCAGGCAGTCGAGCAGCGGTTGAATCGAGCATGTACCATTGTGTCTTAGGGGGAAGTAAATTTGACAGTCATCGGCATAGAAGTGGAAGGGCATGTTGTGTTTCTGGAAAATAGCATCAAGCGGCAGCATGTATAAAGAGAATAGGAGGGGACCCAGGATGGACCCCTGCAGAACCCCCCCATTTAAGCTCTGCCTCTGCAGAACTAAAATCCTTGATGGAGACACAAAAGGATCCGTCAGTGAGGTAGGATCTGAACCAATTGAGGGCTGATCCTGTGATGCCCACCCACTGCTCCAACCTAGCAATGAGGATCTCATGGTCGATGGTGTCAAAGGCGGCTGTGAGGTCCAACAGGACAAGCAGCACAGAATCACCGGTATCAGTGGTTAAGAAAATGTCATTAAAGACCTTCAGCAGGGCAGTTTCAGTGCTGTGGAGAGGTTTAAAGCCAGATTGGAATAGCTCTAAGATGGCGTGATCCTCCAGGAAGCACTTCAACTGGGACTCGACCATTTTCTCCAGTAGTTTCGAAACAAATGGGAGTTTGGAGACAGGCTGGAAGTTGGACACGACTGAGGGGTCAAGGTTTGTTTTTTTCAGGAGAGGCTGGACAGCAGCATGTTTAAAGGTTTTTGGCACCACGCCAGTGGATAAACTACTATTTACTATAGCCAGAATGGACGGACCTAGAGTGGGAAACACCTCCTTTAGTAGTCGAGGGGGGACCACATCAAAGGGGGAGCCAGAAGGTTTCAAGCTGCACATGACCTGCTCTAGAGAAGATAGAGTGATGGGTTCAAAATGGTCAAATAGAGCTACAGATTGAGGTGGGATGGATGGATCATGAGTTGGAGGGGAAATGAGAGCCCTGGTGGTCGCAATTTTTTACAAAAAGAAATGTAGGAAGTTATCGCACAGCTCAGTCGAGGCTTCCAGAGGTGATGGTTCAGTGAGGTGGAGAACAGAGTTTAGGGTGGAGAAGAGGACACGTGGGTTGCGAGAGTTTAAGGTAATTATATCAGAGAAGTATTTGGAGAGGAGGAGAAGAGAAGGACTCTGTGCACGAACCTCCATGCATGAATGGGACCATCTGGAGCATGTAGCTGGTGCGTCGCGTGTGCTGCGGCTAGAACATCCACAGACTGAGTCCGCAGTGCTAAGGATGTCTCCTCTTGTTGTATTTTTTATAAATAATAAAAATAAAAATGCGCGATGACTTTGAACTTTTAGGGGCGGAGCTACCGGGTCCGAACAAAGAGTTGCCAACAGAACGAGTCAAAATGAGAGAGTTCCCGGATCTTGTTCCGGCAGGATCCGGCTCAAATTAACCGCTGGTTTAGTGGCTCCATAAACTCTGGAAGCGTTCATGTGTCAGCTCTTGAAGCAGTTACATCTGATTAGAATAAAAATATGAAGCAGAAGATCATTTAAAGACAAAAACCTTTATGAACGTTTGGAGACAGCAGCCATATTGTATGGCCTTGGCTGCACTCAGACCTGCCAGACTCTGACAACAGATACTGTATCTATACCAGGTAAGATGGTCATTGTTCATAACCGTTCCACAAAAGTCCACTTCATAATGTTCTAAATAAATCTTTAGGACAAAAACAGGATGATTAGAGCTGGTTATATTTCTTACCTTTAATGCTTCCAGAAGGTCAAACATGCTGATTGGGGGGAGGGGTGCAGGAAGCGTGTCGGAGGAACACGCCAACAAATGAACAGCTTTTAGTTCAGCCTCGTCAGGTGGCACCTGTGGTGGTGGGCACGCAGTGAGCGAAGCACTTGGAGGGGGACTGGTGGATGAAAAACAAAAGTCAGAGTGTTGGAAACTAGAGGCCGACTGATATGAAAACTTTGGTTATCACAGATATTAGGAGGGGAAGGCTAAGGCTGATATACATTTACCTCTACGTTAGATTTATAATTCTGGATAAAGTCTTACAAGCCTATGCTATGTTATCTAAATGTTAGCTTGCTAACTTGAGAGTCACGTAGCTAATGACAAGCGGGCTGGAGGATTGAAAAGAATTTATGATTGTTATTTATTTATTTTATAAATCAGTTCAAATAAACTTATGCTCTGTTCAGTATAATACACCACACAGTATTTAGTTGCTCCCTGCTTCTTGGGTCAGCATGTTAGGGGTGGGTGAAAATGGGAAGTTTTTATATCGGTGCATAAAGGCCAATTATCACCGACACTGACATGTCCCCAAACGCCTGAATCGTCCTAAAATATCGTCCTAAAGTATCGTCCTAAAATATCGTCCTAAAATATCGTCCTAAAGTATCGTCCTAAAGTATCGTCCTAAAATATCGTCTTACAGATATATCGGTCGTAGGGGTGGGTGATATGGCTCAAAGATAATATTGTGATATTTCAGAGCATTCTGACGATAAATTTCGCGATAAAAAACAAAAAACAGAAATCATAGTTATTTATTTGACAAAATTAACTTTAACATGTTGTTTTGCAGTATTACATAAAATTTAAAAATAAAAAGGGTTAATTTTACTGAAATTACTTTAGTCTCCAAGTATAAAAATAAAAATGACCCTTCTGTTATTTAGATTGAAACAGTCTGCACAAAATATAGATCAATAAATCCACCACAAAAACTAAAGTGCAGGTGAAGTTTCCCAAAATAACTGAATAAAATAAAATGAAAGCTTAACATCTGTTGAGCATAAATGTAGCATACAACAAAAAATATGTGCTCCTTTAAATGAGCTGTAACTTCCAGAACTTGTAACAAGGTGATCATCTGAGCCTGAAGCTTGTGGTGTTTCAGCTTCTTCTGTTCCTGCAGGAATGATTCATTTCTCTGATGCTCTGTCTCTGATCACCGGACTCTGTTCTTGCTCCATGGACTGTGGAACTAAGAGACACAGCTGAACTGTGCGTGTTTGTACCGGCAGTTCAGAGCAGGGTGGGGAGAGAAAAAAAAGAGGAGTGGCAGCTTAGAGCAGGGGGAGGGAGAGACAGTTGAGCTGTCTACCTGCAGTTTAAAGCTGGATGGAGGGACAGCTGAGCCACGCGTTGTTTGTTTTTAGCTTTTTAACTAGCTAGTATTGCGTGCAGCTAATTAGCGTTACACCAGTACCGACAGGTGGGGTGGGGGGGTGCGAAGTTCGGTTTGGTCGTTCGGCACACTTGGTTCTGTTAACGGGGCGGGGCGCCCTGACGTATTACGTCAGGAAATTAGCATATCATGATATCATTTATTTGCCCGGGCAAGCTTTTTTTACCGGTATTATCGTGAACGATATGATATGGCCCAGCCCTAATCGGTCGGGCTCTATTAGAAACAGAAACATTTCCATGAGTGTGTCCCACCCTTCACTGATGCTGTGGTAGGCTGCCAGGCTGTTTTTCAGGTAAGGCTGAGGCGTAACATCGCTGCCGAAGGCATAAGGGAAACGCTCGTCTCTCAGCCGATACGCCTTCCTCCGGCTGATCACAGCAGTCAGCACGTCCTTCAAATGGTGCTGAAACAAGTCAGAACTCTGGGTTTACACCTCCACAGACACTTACACAACACAAACCTACAAACCCTACAGTTTTAGAAGGAACACAACTTGCTTCTTTTTCAGGACAAACATCATTATTTTATATGCCATTAAAATAATTATAATCTGAAAGCGTATGGGTCAATTTCTTCAAAATTTAACATGAATTTAAAAGTCAGGTCTCATTTAACATGCTGCATTAATTCAGGGTTCCCAGCATTTCATGAAAACAAATTACTTGACTTTTCCTGGAGGACATATTTCAGTCACACAAACTGCTCAGAACTTATCGTCTTCGGTGTCGGCGGAGTCACATTCAGAGACGACAGGAAGTAAACTGTAGCCTACAGCACGTGCACACAGCACGTGCACACAGCCATCATTCCTAATAATAAAGTCAACTTTATTTATAGAGCACATTTAAAACAAAACCTGTTATCAAAGTGCTTAACAACAACAACAATCAATGAGTAAATTAAAGAGAAAAAATAATAACTGAAGAATTAATAAAAAGCATTTAAAACATATGGTCACAGATTAAAAACCACTAGATCAATTTACAGTTATAAACGTACAAAGGTAATAAATTAACTGTTTAACATGAAACACTAAAAAGCCGTCACAGTCAGTCAGAAGGGAAACATGTACTGTACACACTGTAAGAGCAGAACATGGACTCAGTGATACCAGAATACTAGCGTTATGAACACGTTACAATCTCAGAAAGATGCAGTTCCTTGTGAAAGTATCCGGCCTCCTTGAACTTTTCAACCTTTTGCCACATTTCAGGCTTCAAACATAAAGATCTAAAATTTTATTTTTTTGTGAAGAATCAACAAGTGGGACACAATCGTGAAGTGGAATGAAATTTATTGGATGTGTCAAACTTTTTTAACCAATAAAAAACTGAAAAGTGGGGCGTGCAATATTATTGGGCCCCTTTACTTTCAGTGCAGCAAACTCACTCCAGAAGTTCAGTGAGGATCTATGAATGATCCAATGTTGTCCCAAATGACTGATGATGATAAATAGAATTCACCTGGGTGTAATCAAGTCTCCGTATAAATGCACCTGCTCTGTGATAGTCTCGGGGTTCTGTTCAAAGCACAGAGAGCATCATGAAGACCAAGGAACTCACCAGAGAGGTCCGAGATACTGTTGTGGAGAAGTTTAAAGCCGGATTTGGATACAAAAAGATTTCCCAAGCTTTAAACATCCCAAGGAGCACTGTGCAAGCAATCATATTGAAATGGAAGGAGTATGAGACCACTGCAAATCTACCAAGACCCGGCCGTCCCTCTAAACTTTCATCTGGAACAAGGAGAAGACTGATCAGAGATGCAGCCAAGAGGCCCATGATCACTCTGGATGAACTGCAGAGATCTACAGCTGAGGTGGGAGAGTCTGTCCATAGGACAACAATCAGTCGTACACTGCACAAATCTGGCCTTTATGGAAGAGTGGCAAGAAGAAAGCCATTTCTCAAAGATATCCATAAAAAGTGTTGTTTAAAGTTTGTCACAAGCACCTGGGAGACACCAAACATGTGGAAGAAGGTGCTCTGGTCACATGAAACCAAAATCCAACTGTTTGGCCACAATGCAAAATGATATGTTTGGTGTAAAAGCAACACAGCTCGTCACCCTGAACACACCATCCCCACTGTCAAACATGGAGGTGGCAGCATCATGGTTTGGGCCTGCTTTTCGTCAGCAGGGACAGGGAAGATGGTCAGAATTGATGGGAAGATGGATGGGGCCAAATACAGGACCATTCTGGAAGAAAACCTGTTTGAGTCTGCAAGAGACCTGAGACTGGGACGGAGATTTATCTTCCAACAAGACAATGATCCAAAACATAAAGACAAATCTACAATGGAATGGTTCACAAATAAACGTGTCCAGGTGTTGGAATGGCCAAGTCAAAGTCCAGACCTGAATCCAATCGAGAATCTGTGGAAAGAGCTGAAGACTGCTGTTCACAAACGCTCTCCATCCAACCTCACTGAGCTCGAGCTGGTTTGCAAGAAAGAATGGGCAGAACTTCAGTGTCTCCATGTTCAACACTGATAGAGACAAACCCCAAGAGACTTCAGCTGGAACTGCAGCAAAAGGCGGAGCTACAAAGTATTAACACAAGGGGGGCGAATAATATTGCATGCCCCACTTTTCAGTTTTTTATTTGTTAAAAAAGTTTGACACATCCAATAAATTTCATTCCACTTCACCATTGTGTCCCACTTGTTGTTGATTCTTCACAAAAAAACAAAATTTTATATCTTTATGTTTGAAGCCTGAAATGTGGCAAAAGGTTGAAAAGTTCAAGGGGGCCGAATACTTTCACAAGGCACTGTAATTTAATGGTAAGATCAATGTTCAGATTCCCTGAGGTTTTCTTGTTTGGAAAATGTGAAAATCATTTTACAGGTTTGGCCTGATTTCCAGAATCGTTGGGAACCCTGTAATTACCTGCATTATAATAATAATAATAATAATAATAATAATAATAATAATGGAGTAAAACTATCAAAGTTCATGCTCAATAATCCAGGTAGAAAAATTCAACAAAGTTAAGTCAGGTCCTCTGGACAGTTTCTTTTTGTTGACTCCAGAAACTATGTTAGCACCAGCTAACTGGTTGACCCAGTATGAGAAGGTGCTATTTATAAATAGACTGAGTTTGTTGTGGCTCCTTTGACTGATGAAGTCCCTTGGATGAAAGATGAAACGTTTCAACAAAATAAGAGGACCTGACTTGTTGAATGGAGTAAAAACTTTCACAAAGTCCTAAATTCCCCTCAGAAATAAGAAAACAGGCCCAGACTTCATCCAGCAGAAACCTGTAGTTTGACAACATACAGCTTTAATACTCTCACAGGGACCGAACTGTTGTTTCAGTAGATGTTCTGTTCAACATGATCAGCAGACAACATGATCAGCAGACAACATGATCAGCAGACAACATGATCAGCAGACAACATGATCAGCAGACAGCATGATCAGCAGACAACATGATCAGCAGACAACATGATCAGCAGACAACATGATCAGCAGACAACATGATCAGCAGACAACATGATCAGCAGACAACATGATCAGCAGACAACATGTTGGCTTTAAAAACAGATAAAGATGCTCTGATCAGACTGAGACCGTGATCATTAATAATTCCACACTGACCTCCACAGCGTAGCTCATGAAGCTCACAGCATCTTCTGTGACATTATCCAGACCCAGCTCGAAGGCAGTGACCATCATGCGGGCCTCCAGCTGGCCCTGCGTCGGCAGCAGCAGGGTGTGGGCGCTGAGGCGCAGCTCCCCTTCCTCGCCCCCCACCTCTCGGGAGCTGAACGACTGCGCAGCACTAAGAGGGTTCTGAGGCTGGAAGCGATGCTGAGGAAACACCAGAAGGAGACCCAGAGGTCCTCAGTCCTCACGCTCGATAACTAATAAATCCAACAAGTTGAGTCTTTGTGGAAGAACTGACTCAACCTCGTTAGACTGACAGTAACTGTTCAGAAGACCCTGGAAACATTCAAACCAGCATCTGAAGTGACAAACATGACACTTACATCAAATTTTTGTCTAGAGGTACATTTCTTCTTCCCTTTTGGTTTGCCGGGCTTCGAGATGCAGCCCCCCTGCCACTGCAGTGGCCCAGCACCCTCTGCAGGACAGACAGGAACACACAGGTGAATAATTCATGTTGGCTGGGTAGCAGCACGGTGGCGCAGTTGGTAGAGCTGCCGCCTCTCAGCGAGCAGGTCGCCAGTTCAAATCCCAGCCAGGGGTCTCTCTGTGTGGAATTTGCATGTTCTCTCCGTGCATGTGTGGGTTTTCTCCAGGTACTCCAGTTTCCTCCCACAGACCAAAAACATGCATGTTCCTCTGAGGTCTAACCCTGGTTCTAGTGGTCCTCTGAGGTCTAACC